GGTCATGGAAAGAAATATTTTCAGTGGAAAAAGAAAATTAGCCTCTCCTACAGAAGGCTACTGATGTTATCTATTATTTTATATATATACTTAACAGAAGTGAGTGCATGTGTAATATCTCCACAGTCAGCTGGAGCAGAGGACTTTGCTTTTAGGAGCACTGGCTAGAGCTGATTGTGCTGTGGACTTGAATAAAAAGCAGAATCAACCAAAGAGAAGGACTCATCAGCTCTCTCTAGCCTTTGCTAGGAAGTACATTTGTCTTGGTCTTACCTGGAAAGGAGAATGAGAGCACTGGAAACTGAGCAGTGTCTGCCATGGAGCTCTAATTGCCAGCAGGTGGAGGAGGCACTCCAAGCAGCACCAGAAGCCATTTCACAAATCACTGGTGTTCCAACCTCTGTTGTGGTCCTGGGGGTACAGTGGATCCTCTAGCAAAGTGCCAGGGGAGAGGATTTCCTCATCTTGCCGACATTAATTTGGGATTAAAGATCTGAGCTAATATCTAATCATAGTCTTGAGCCAGACAGTTTGGTTAAGATATTCTTGTGGCATTTTGTTATTGTTCCTGGAGCATAAGCAACCTCTAAGTAGGAGTTGATAATGTTTTTAAAGGCTCTCAGACATAATATAAAAGTGTGCTTTGTGGGAAGACAGCATATAAAAACTTGTATTTTTGTCAGGTTTCTAATTTATGGGGAACAAGGATATGCAATAATCTAATTTATGTCTGTGTACATTATGTCACTGATTGCAAGAATTGGCATACAAGCAGGTGCTTTGATTTGTATGTGCAGAAATTGGTAGTAGGCTGAGCTAATGGTGAAGTAGATGTAGCTTGCCAGAGGAAGCTGAAGCTTTAGATTTGATTTAGTGTTGGTAACATGAGAAGGCAAATCCATGTCTAACGCTGAGCAGAAAGATATGTTTAGTGTCCATGAAATCTGTAATTCCACAGGCTAAAATATTGGGGTTTTTTTTATCCTTTAAATGACAAGATTTAGGGGGGGAAATTAATTTTGGAGATTAAGGTTTTATGTGGATGTGTTCAGCTTTAAGGATATCTCCTCTAAATGAAGACGGTGATTATTGCGATATTTGGCTGTTTCCAGTAAATGTGATTGTACAATAGTCTGTATCTTGTAATCTTAAATATCTTTCAAAAAGATAAAATATTCTACTAGTGGAAATGAAGATAGCTCATTTATTCAATTTGCTAGTGAAATCTGTATATCATGCACTAAATGCTTTAAAATCCCCCTCCTCCTGCCCCTCAAAATAAGTTCATTTTTCAAATCTTAGAGTGTCACAGGAGAATACATACTAATATTTTCATACTTGGGTGTGTGAACCTCCAGTCAAAACCTATGAAATATCTGTAATCTTTTTAAACCAGAGATTTCAGTATCAATTAAACTATTTTTAATGTGGTTTTGTTGGTGTTGGTTTTGGCTTTTTTAAAATAGATTCTTCTCTTCTATTTCAGTCTTACATCATGCATCTAAAGAAGGATTAAATAATAAATAATTATTTAATTATTAAATTAAATAATTTATTTATTTAATAAATTAAATTAAAATAAATTAATTTTAAATTAATTAAATTAATATTAAATTAAATTAAGTTTGTTATTTCCAGGAAAACCTAGGAACACAGAAACACAGGATGACACTATCACCAGAGCAATCTGCTGCTAACAGTGGACAGACAGAGCATGTGAACCCATTATGTTGGTTATAATACTTTTATGTGCTCAGGACGTGTTTGGGAGTTCTTGGGGAAAAAACAAGGACATGCATTAGTAATGAGATCAGTTTGCTAGGAAAGGGAGTGAGGACCACTCTGTGGCAATTAAGAGCAATTTGGGGTGGCAAAGATCTTGAATGCTGGCTGACTCAGCTCCCACAGTGCAGCCAATAACCAAATAGCAGAATTTCACAAGCAGCTACATCAAAAACACTCTGCTTCAGCTGGTGACACAAACAACAGTAATTTCCTGTGTAAAGTATTTCCTCTAGTAGTGAGATTCATTGATTCCAGGTTTTTTTTTTTTTTCACATCTAAGAAAGCGTAATTTTCCCACTGTTCCTGTCTCCTTGCCCAAATGAATCCATTTTCCCCTTCTTCTTCCTGAGTCATGGATAAATCTTCCTTCAAACATTTTGCCTTAGTTTTCTTCTAGCCATGTGTGTGAGTGAAAATGATTTCACCTTTTTTGGTAGAATAAATCCTCTATGATTTTTGTTGTGGATATGCTTTGACCTATAGTAGGTAGTGCTCTAATGTAAGAGAGGCTAATTAAAGGAAGAGGGAAAGGAGCAGAACTCTTCCTTTTGTGAAAATGA